ACAATCATGAAGTTGCTGTAAATGGAGCTAAGTTTTAACATTGATTATAGACTAGCAGTTATCATCATGAACCTCTTTACTATATTTTACAGTAATTACAGCAATAGATTCAGGAATGAATATATGAAGATGGTGTCTTTGCTTTTAGTGGTTCCTACTCTACCAACATTTAAGAGTAATTTTATTGGTTGATGACTTCAAATTTGGATATGTTAATTTATGAGTAGGTGTTATATCTAAATAAATAAACTCACAGTGAGGATCTGTGGATCATTTCTGTTATCAAAATATGAAAGCCTTTAAGATCTTCCTGACCATAAAGGGTTGCATTTTGTTTGTTTGTTTGCTTGGTTTGCATCATTCTTTTATTTGTTTTTACTTTAGTTGTTGTTCCTGAGCAGGTATAACAGTTCCAGACATGAAAGGCATCATATCGAAACTACAGATGAAAGCTTGAGGAGCCATTTTGAACAATGGGGGGACACTCGTGGACTGTGTGGTGATGAGAGCACTCCAAACACCAAGCACTCCAGAGGCTTTGGGTTGGTCACTTTCTCTAATGTGGAGGAGGTGGATGCAACCATGAATGCAAAGTCACACAAGGTGGATGGAAAAATGATGGAACCTAAGAGGGCCACTTCACAAGAAGACTCTCAAAGACATTGGTGGCATTAAAGAAGACACCGAAGAGCATCACCTAAGAGATTATTTTGAGCAGTATAGGAAGATAGAAGTGATTGAAATCATGACAGTGGCAAGAAGATGGGCTTTGCTTTTGTTAAAAACTTTGAGGCCCATGAGACCATGACTCTGTAGATTAGATTGTTATCCAGAAGGACCGTACTGTGAATGGCCACAACTGTAATGTAAGGAAAGCCCTGGCAAAGCAAGAGATGGCCAGTGCCTCCTCCAGTCAAAGAGGTAGAAGTGGTTCTGGAAACTTCGGGGGTGGCTGTTGAGGTGGTTTTGGTGGGAATGACAACTTTGGTCATGGAGGAAATGTCAGTGGACGTGGTGGCTTTGGTGGCAACCGTGTTGGTGGTGGAGATGGAGGCAGTGGGGATAGTTATAATTGATTTGGTAATGACAGAAACAATGTTGGAGGTAGTGGAAGCTACAATGATTTTGGCAATTGCAACAGTCAATCTTCAAATTTTGGAACCATGAAGAGAGGAAATTTTGGAGGCAGTAGCTCTGGCCCTTATGGTGGTGGATGGCAATATTTTGCCAAACCATCAAACCAAGGTGACTATGGCAGTTCAAGCAGCTGCAGTAGCTATGGGAGTGGCAGAAGGTTTTAATGATTGCCAGGAAACAAAACTTAGCAAGAAAGGAGAGCCAGAGAAGTGACAGGGAAGCTACAGGTTACAACAGATTTGTGAACTCGGCCAAGCACACTGGGGGTAGGGTCTAGCTGCTACAAAGAAGACATGTTTTAGACAGTACTTCATGTGCATTTGGGGTAGGGGGATGATAAAACTCAAGGACTGCATTTGTGACTAATTGTATAACAGGTTATGTTAGTTTCTGTTCTGTGGAAAGTGTTAAGTATTCCAACAAGGGGTTTTAATGTGGATTTGTTTTTACCGCACCCATGCTAGTGGCTGCTAAATGTAACAGTCTGATCATGCCCTTGATTAATTTCTTTTTTAAAATTAAAAAAAAGAAAGAATGGCATCATAAAACTGTTATTTCTACAAAGACATAAATCGAAGGTCATTATTCTAATTACATCTTACCACACTGCCCTTTTCCAACAGGTTAATCAGCCTTACTTCTTAGTGTTTGTTGTATCTACATTGACTTCCTACTCCCCTAGGCCCTGATCAAGGAGTTCCGGTAGAATAGTGGTTATGAGTCGGGCTGGTAATCTCAAGGTCAGCAGTCTGAAACTACCAGCAGTTCCATAGGAGAAAGATGAGGCTTTCTGCTCCCATAAAGTTTTATAGCTTCAGAAACCCTGTACAGGGTCACTGTGAGTTGGAACTGACTCCATGGCACACCACCACCACCAGGCCCTGATCAGTGGCTCATTCTTCGGTTTTGACACTGGTCACTAAAATTTTATGGGCATCCAGTTTCCCCTTCTCTTTTACATAGCATGTGTACCATACTTAAATTTGTATTGTTTTTGTTTTTTTGCTTCAAAAAACCTCTAATTATTCTTCAAATTATTTCAGTTAGTCATTTGAGAGTTTCAGTAATCATAAATTGCATTATATTTTCTAACTTTACATTGTGTAAATATGTAACCAACTACCTAGCTCACAGGAAAAAATTAAAAAATTTAGTTCTACTTCCAAAACTTGGTTCTTTTTGGTTAGGCTAGGTAGTCCCAAAATACCATAAATTCCTTTCCTCATATCATTTGATTATTCTGAAATTATTTTTTTAATCCTTTGAACTTAATGAAGCAAAGTGCATGACTTATCTTCTTTCCTCTCAAATACTTTTCATTTAGTATATAGATACCGTTAGTCATTTAACCACTGCGTCTTTTAAAAATATTTTACCTTCCTATAAATTTCTTAAAGGGACATCTTCCATGATTCCTAATAGTCACAGGAAAGCAAGTAGTAATTATCAAATAAATAGTTGTTGAAACCAATTAAATAAATTATATAACAGATTTTCGTATCACTTTATTGTCTGAAAAATGCTACATAAAATTAAATATGATGTGACAATATATAGAAATCAAAGTGATCAGTGCTTACCAGGGGCAATAGGGAGGCAGAAAGTTGGGATTTTTGCTCAGAACTAATTAAATGCATGTTAATGGTGGCTGTATAATTTGAAAAAAACAGTGAAAATGGCTGTACAACTGGAATGATAAAATCAATGTCACTGAAGGGCTCATGTAGAAATCTATTAAATGTTGTGTTTTATTGTATGTGTATCATTACATGGAACTGGATCACTGTAAAATTCATAGTTCAGTTATATCTCCTGAGGATATTACAGCCTTACAAATGCACTGATTTTAACTATTCCCATCAACTGGGATAGCACTGTTTGACTAAGCCTTAAATATAACCTAAAACAATTTAATGTTGGTAGTTAACTCAGGTTTTACAGGTTCAGTGAGTATTGATCAAGAAAATAATCTATTTCTAAAATACTCTTGCTATGGAAACTAAAGATTTGTTTAAATTAATTACACTGTATTAAAAGTTTGAAGATTCTATGCCGAATAGAACCTTTGTCTTACTCAACTATTGTTCCTACCAATATAAGCAGACTTTTAAAACATTCTACATGACTTTTATGAGTGCTATGAAAAGTTAAACATAGTTACTGAAATAACTTATTATTCTTTTATAAAAAGTATTCACCAGATATCAGTATCTACCTTCATAATTGTAAAGGACATTTGAGTAATCTTTCAAATAAGCATAATTGTAATCAATCTGGTAAATGCTATGTTTGTTTTTAGGTTCTCATTAGCCACATTATTAGGTTGTCTCAGTATTAATATCAGGTTTTATGATAACATATTAAATTAATTTAAATTTAAAAATAATGCAAATGACTACTGTGTGCCAGGCAATGAGTTGTAAATGTAACCAGAAGGAACTGACACTCAAATGAGGGAGACAATGAACTATATTCAAATATAGTTTCTAAATTAGAAGTCATAACAAAGAACACTAAGTGGGGAACAATTTCACTAGTTAAAGCAAACAACCCAAAGATGACTTTATATAAATTTAATATTTAAGCTGGAAATGTATGGATAAGTAGCTTTTTGTCAGTTAGATAAAAAGAAAGAAAGAAAAAAGGGTTTACCAGAGGAACAAAGTATAAGGTAAATTCTGTAACTATAAAGTACTGTATTGGTTTGAGAAATAAGAGGTTCAATAAATGAGAATGGGTAAAATTGAGGGGAATCATTATGGGAAATAAGATAGACAATGGAGATGAGATATGTGAAAAAAACATAGTAATGGCATAATTCATTATATATTTGTTTCAAAAGTATAAACCTAAATCAGTGGATAAGCAATTGATGATGGCAAGAAAATTGAGTCAAATAGACAAGTTAAAACAATGCTAGTCAAGGACAAAACAGTAAGCCTGAATTAAGGTGGTGATGGAAAAGAAAAGCAGATAAATTAAAGAAACATTTTGAAAGCAGAAGTAGTATGACTTAATGAAGAGTGTTGTATGAGGAAGTTGAGAGAGGATTTAAGGCAACTTTTAGCTTTTAAAGGACAGAGATTAAGGAAAAACCCCCACTAAATATGGCAGTTTGGTTATTATTGGTAAACTGAAGAAAGGTGAATTTGTGGGCAGGGGGGCAAATGAAGTTTTCTGTGGAACTGAAATGTATCATAAGAAAAGAAATGAGGCAAAAATCTTATATTCATCCACAGCCAATTATGTCATAGGGTTTCATTGATTAAATAAGGCCATCTGGATCATTTATAAAATGGACCTATGAGGAAACTTCATAAATGTTATCTTTTCATATTCATTTATCTTTTTATTCAATTTTTCCATGAGCTTTTTGAAACCTGTATGTCTTTCATTACTACAGGGAAATATTTCATATCACCAACAGATTCAAGCATAAATACTAATAAACAGATAAATTAAGTCTATTTTACAGTAAATAAACAATAGAATAAAATATTGAAATAGAATATTTTGTGATTGACTTTAAAATAATTGGAAAGATATGGATGTAGTAGGTAAACATTAAAATTATAGTGTCTCCAAGACTTTCACAACCATGAGTTTCTGTTAATCATAATTATGATTTATTTCCTTGGGTACTATAAGAGTCAAGGTGGTAAAGCAAATATTTCCATTTGTATGAACATTCTTTCTGCACTCATTAGTGCATGCAATTAGTAGAAACCAGGCATTGGGTGATTTGATTGACATGAATTTATTTTCTCTTCCACACAGTCTGGGAACACAGCATGTGAGTAATGAAAGAAAAGATGTAATTTGAAACTATGGATAGCATGGCCATTTATTATTATCATACTTACAACTGGACCAGGTGGACCCTGGGGACCTTCCCCTCCTTTCAGACCAGCTGCACCCTGATGGAAGTGGAGGGGAAAAACAAGAATGAAATGAATTAATGTGATTGAATATAAATGAATCAAATGTATGAATGATAAAATGAAGATGTCAGTAAGTGTTCTTGAAAGTATATATATGCACATTTATATATTATGATAACAAATGCATATGCCTACATGTTTTTCTTTAATTATATAGAAATTTTTACTTAAGATCTGAGAAAAATGCTTCTAATAAGAAACTTTATTCACATGTTTTACCTATGTATTGACTGTACCTGAGCTCCAGGAAGACCTCGTTCACCTGGGAAACCCCGTAGTCCTGCTGGTCCATCTTTCCCTGAGATACCTTGAGGACCTGGATCACCCTAAAGAATATGCATCCATCAATAGAGAGTAATTTCTAAAGGTTTCTATTAGCCAATGATCAGATTATTATTTAGAATATCATTCACGTTGAAATGATAATCACTATTTACATTTAGGAGTCCTGGTGTGGCGCTGTGGGTTAATGTACCAGACTGCAAAGCCATTTGAACCGCAAGCTCGGCAGTTCAAGTTCACCAGCTGCTCCTTGGAAACCCTATACAGGGTCGCTAAGGGTCGGAACCGACTCGATGGCACTTAACAACAACATTTGCATTTAAGGAGCCCTGGTGTGGTGTTGTGGGTTACTGTGCTAGACTGCAAGTTTGGTTTGAATCACAAGGTGGGTGGTTCAAGCTCACCAGCCGCTCCTCGGAAACCCTATACAGGGTCACTATGGGTCACAATTGACTCAATGGCACTTAACAACAGTAACAACAACATTTCATTTAAAGGATCCTTGGTGGCACTGTGGGTTAGGCATTAGAGTATTAACCTTAAGATCAGCAGTTCAATCCCACTAGCCACTCTGTGGTAGAAAGATGAAGCTATCTACTTCCGCAAAGTTTTACAGTCTCAGAAACCCCAGGTCAGTCTGCTCTGAGTCAGAACCAAGCAATGGCAGTAGGTATTGACACTTAGGAATATATATACATTTATCCAGAACAAAGGTCCCTGGTGTGGTGTGGTAGGATAAGCCCTGGACTGTTAGTCACAAGGTCGGCAGTTCAAACCAGCCAACTGCTTCTTGGAAATTCTATACACAGTCACTACAAGTTGGAATCTACTCAAAGACACTTAACAACAATAGCAAAGAAATGTATAGCTCTATGGCGAACAGGAAAAACTGATCTTATTATGTTCATTACTGCTTAGCAATATAACAAATGCTTTTCTGACATATATTCTTTATACTTATCTAACTATCATGAGAATCCATGGGCAAGTGGTAAACAACTACAGGGAAAATGAATGGCGGTTTTTCAGTCTAGCAATTTCCTTAAGTATGTTTACCTTTGCACCTTCTTTTCCTGCTGCACCAGGAAGACCTTGCTCACCAGGAGGACCAGGAGGGCCAGGATGCCCACGTTCACCTATTGGACCAGTCTCACCAGTAGGACCCTAGGTTAGTTAAGGGAAATCTTATTACAATATTGCTTTTTAAATATATTTGTAGCAAATTTATCACAAAATCAAGATAAATATCACTTCCATTCACAAAACTTTTATCATTCTCATTTCTCAGGATGCCATACAAAGTACTCTATATAGACACTGAAAGAAGTATATCTGATAGAATATGAAGAGACTATGTAAAGAATTGGATAGAATTTTAGTGTACCTATATAAAGTGCACAGGGTTATTTTCTTTATTTTAATACCAGAGACACTACAAACTTAAAAATCATTAAACAGTGTGATCTTATTCCCCCATTTGTATAAAAGGTATTAAATCAGTTTAGGAGTAAAGAGGCACTGGTATCTAGTCAACAAATGTCTGTTTAATGGGAAACCTTGGTTTACTGCACTCTATAAATAATCAAAGTGATTCTCCTTGGAATTCCCATGTACTGGAGACCTCCTTTCTGTTAATGAATATTCATTTAACAAATTTCAGGAATATGCCATGGAAATCCTGAAGGCAGTGTGTTTGGATGGCATTTTCTGAAGGGTAAAGGCTATAACAAATAGCCAGTTACTATTTAAATGGATGAAAATGCCAAATTGAAAAATGCCAGGTCATTTATGTGTCACTGGAGTGGTGCTATGCTGTGGTGCTAAAGTTGAATAAGGCTTCAAGTGTAAGTAAAGGAAGATGAGTAGTTTGCTCTGTTTCTACTTAGAATAAAGCAAATGAAAGATTGAAGTTAAAGGAAACTTTCCATATACTAAGGTGAAATGTGCGCTTGAAGTTGTTCATAGAATAGCATTCTCTGATCTTTGTCTAACAACGCAATAAACAAAGAACACATCAGGACCACATATTTTAGAGGACATTTCTAATTCTATATCCCATCAAGCACATAGTTGCTGAAAGTCCTTGGATTATCATTAACATGCATATATTTCAACACAAAGGAATTTTTCTAATATCTGAAAACCAGAATTTTAATAGTAAAATATATAAATTGTTCCTAATCCAACTGTTGTCATCTCTGAGACTAAATAAATAAACAGGTAAATAACTGTGCAAAGAAATGATGAAGAGTATCAAGTATGCACATCACAGTCAATATTGCTTTCATTAAACCATTTCCTTTGTCTAATCGTGGAAATACAGTTACTACTGAAACTATTAATTGGATTCCTTTAAGTACCAGTAAAGAATACAATGAAGATGCATACTATTCTTTTATAGAATAAGAAATTAACATTTTCCCTGGTTCAACATCATATTCTGAAATAAAATGATCCACCAATCCCAGATTCTTCATTTTTGTTTCTGTTATACGTATTCTTAGAAAGTGGATGCAGGTTTTGTTTCTCTGGGTGTGTATTTGGATGTGTGTGCTTGTGAGTATGTGTGAAAAAGAGAGGGAGAAAAAGGGATAAAGAGAAAGAGAGTTATAAAGAGTTGAGAAGTAATTATGGAGCAAGAAAAGATTATTTTAAATAATCAAATAATTAAAATATTTACTTAATTGATCTTGCTCTTTTGCTGTAATTTGTTATAGTATGATAAAATTACAGCTATATAACTTAAATGTGTCCTTGCCCATTCAATATGTTTTGTAGAGAAAAAGTTTTTCCCATAGTCATGGAATAATCTTTGTAAGTAATGAATACTATAGTTCAGTGTACTGAACCAATTTTTAAGCTCTGGATTGAAAAATTTACCTGTCTCTGTCATTACTTCGCATACTAAAAAACATAACATATTTCACTCCTACTGTAAATTATTTTTAAGGAGATAAAAATCTTTTAAAACATGTACTATATTACAAATGTTAAAGATTTAGAATTTTGTGGTATTCAAAATTTTATTTTATACTTTTAATATACTACACTTTGAAGTCTAATTTTTAATCAGATACAGGAACTAATTTCATAATTGAAAAATTTGAAGAGAAATGATGGTCAACCTATTTCATAATTTTTTTTTTCAGTTTTTAACATTGTCAAGTTTTAGTGATAAAGAGTTATCTGACTTATTTTCATTATTTATTTTACTGTTTTTACTCACACAGAAAATTGAGAAATTGCTTTAGCTAAGTAATAATTTGCTGGATTTTATTTGGTGTTGATAAGCTACATATATGTAAATGTTATCTGAAAATTAAAAAATGTCATATTAAGTCATATTACAGTGGGCATTTGTTACAAAATTGAGGGAAGGAGAAAATAGAAATAGATTAATATTGTTAGGGAGACAAAATAAAGGAACAAACCTGTGGCCCAACAACACCGCCTGGTCCAGGAGGGCCCGTCTTTCCTTGAAATCCCTAAAGAATCAAAACATCATCTGTAACAGCTATGCATAACATAACACACAGATAAACATTCTATTAGTTAATAATTCATACAAAAGGAGTGTCACAATTTAGCTAAGGTATTTATTTCTATATGTCTGTATATGAGTTTTATTCTAGTTCTCTATAAAATGCCAAATTCGCCATCTTTTCTATTTCACTTTTACTTTAATGATGATTTTCAAAAAACTTAAAAAAAAAAAAACAGGATAAATCTGGAGCAATATGTGTTCTTAGTCCTGTTCCACTGGGCAAACAATGTGTACAATTTAAACCTACACATTTATTTTAATAATAAAAGTTGAGAATTTTATTGTACACATTCAAATATATTTTTAAATATTTATGAATAAAATAATGATAAAATAAAATAGTTGACCAATTCTATATCCAGAGATACAAAGTCTGTGACATTAATGCATTTATCTCTATTCTATTTCAATAAAATCATAAAATAAGATATAAAAATGAGTGGAAAAAGAGGCTGTTTTTTATGATAAGTAATCATTTCAGCATTTTATGAGAATTCTCTTTCTGAAAACCCAAAAGAATATAGTTAGAAATGCTTTTTTCAAATTATGCAATCAGTAAAATAAAATCTAGTAGGTATGAGCAGCATGTACACGCTAAACCAAGGCTTGTGTCATATATTCTGGCATCTGTCTTTGTCTAGGCTATTGTAAACTATTCATTCTGCATAATTTTATTATGATTGACAAATTTCTTTCTCATATGAGTTAAGTTGTATTTAACAGTTTGAGGAATAAGGATAAAATACTGAAGAAAAAAGAAAAGACTTCCAAAGAACTGAATAGAAAATAGCTTTTGTAAAGCTTTTTTGTAAGGTTTTTATAGAGCTTTATTTACTTTATCATCTAATTATACTGAAACAGCATTGGAAAGAAATGAGCAATCCCACTTTGCTGTCTCAACATTCTGGAAAAGCATGATTGACTTAATTATTTTCCACTAACAAAGTTTTATAATTTTCAAAAGAAGTTAAAAATCAATTTGCAATTATTGTGATCACTGTAACAGGGAAAGAAATCCAACTCAACTTCTACTCTGTGAACCCAGTGACTCTTAAGAACATCAATGTTCTGCATGAGCTCTCATGACCAAACAACCAGTTCATTGAGAGGGAAAATGTAATAAAATGAATACAGGATTTTAAAAACAAAATAGCAGCTTGACTGCCTTTTTATTTAACTTTTTATTATGAATTGAGTAAAAGATTACAGAGTAGATCCCCAGTTTTACATTCAACTCATCATACACTTCATTTCATTTCAATGATTGCCATCTCAACGTATCATCACTTAGCCTACTTGTTCCCTGTAATCTTGTTTCCATTACTCCTTATTTCGCAAACCTTCTGAATTTTGTCCTTAGATAAATGCTGCTCTTTTGATATTGAATGGTTGACCATTCTTTGGTATGCATGCCTCACTAGTGTTGCTGTCGCCCTAGGAACCTATCTGCTGTTTTATTGAACATTTGACTGCATAATTTTAATATATATATATATATATATATATGGAGCTCTGGTAGCGTAGTGGTTACGAATCGGGCCGCGAACCTTAAGGTCAGCGGTTCGAAACTACCAGCCGCTCCGCGGGAGAAAGATGAGGCTTTCTACTCCCGTAAGGATTTACACCCTCGGAAACCCTGTACAGGGTCGCTATGGGTCGGAACCGACTCGATGGCACTTAACAAACAAACAAACAAACAAACAAACAAACAAAATATATATATACATACAGCTAGATCCATACCCTACCTACCTACTTCCTGGATTATATAATCAATTTCCATGACTACAATTGTCGTCTATATGCTGACAACCCCTCAACTATTTCACAATCTCTGATTTTTGATATATGTTGAGTTCTCAACTTTAAATGAGCACTCACTGGACATTTAAAAATGCACAGCATGCTCTTTTCTCAAACTTAACAGTCTCAAAATCAAGCTTATTAAGAAAAGCCCATTCTTTGATTTTCCTCCCTGTTCTCTTCCTTGGAGGAGTGGCTTCTCATCCCAGGTTTTTCCTCAGTCATCAGATTCAGTCATTCACTCATAGAATGGAACATTTAAAACTCTCACAAAGACAACTTCTTCTCTCTTGTCCCACTCTCTTAATTCAAACTGTTGTTAAGTGATGTAGAGTCAGTTCCAACCTATAGTGAGTCTATATAGGATGTCAGAGGGGCAGCTGGAGAGCTTGAACTGCCAACCTTGCAGTTCAAATTGACTTGCAGTCCAGCACATTAACCGACAGCACCATACCAGGACTCCTAATTCAAGCTGTAGCCATACCTTATTCCTGGACCACTCCAGATTTACTCACTCATCCCTGTCAGCCAGAATTATCATATCACAAAATAAATTCTGTCAAGTTGTTCCTATTATCTGTTACAAAATTCTACACAACCATTTTCAGTTTGCTTCTCTAATGTTATGTTCTGACTCAAAGGATGTATCCTAAATTGTAGCCATGCTGATCTCACCGTTATACAGACAACCTTGATGTTATTCATCTATATATTTGCACAGGCTGTCCTTGTTCCCTCTGTGCTTCCCTCAATTTTTGGAAACCAATTTAAATGTGAAAATGTAAATGTAATTTGGAACTTAAATGGTTTTTTCAATCTTTATAAATATTTTTCCTTATTAACATCAAGAACAAGAATATCATATAAAATGGTGATTATGATTTAAAAAACAATGCCTCATTGAGAAAAATCTGGAGAAATTTTGCAACACATAAATGCATTCATGCATCCTAAGGGGAAAGAAATAAATCTGGCTGCTAATAGGTTTCTGTGAGTGATGGATTTGGGAGGAGCTGAAAGTCAACATTTTCCATATGTCCATTCATTCAAGATATTCAGAATCTTTGCAAGTATCTAATAAATTTGACTCAAGGCATTTTGCAGATAAACGACATACAAGAAAACTTTTATAGTCCAGAATAGAGAATGCTTGTTCAACGTTGCCATAACATAAGACCACACTTGCCTTTTAATTTTTGAATAAATTAAGTAAAACAATTTTTAAAGTGCCTGAAAACAGAAATTGATTTTATATTTTCATAGGTTATTAGAATTGTGCAGAATGGAAATTTCAGAACATTTCATTGTGTTTATTAGGAACCTGGACATAGACCAAGAAGCAGTTACTAGAACAGAATAAGGGGATGCTGTAGAGTTTAAAATACCCAAATGTGTGTGCCATGGTTGTATCCTGTCACTATATTTATTCAATCTCTATGCTAAGCAAATCATGCAAGAAATTGGACTACATGAAGAAGAATGTGGATTCAGATTTGGAGGAAGACTCAGTAACAACCTGTGACTTGCAGATAACCCAACCTTTCTTGCTAGAGTGAAAGTGAAATGAACTTGATGCAATTTATTAATGAAGATCAAAGATGAAAAGTTTTCAGTATGGATTTCAACTCAAAGAGAAAGCTTTCAGTCTTTCTCTGTTGTGTATAATGTTGAGTACAATTGCATATATGCCATTAATTTTGGCATATTTGAGAAAATTTCTCTTCTATCCCTATTTTACTAAGAGAATTTATCAGAAAAGGTGTTGAATTTTATCAAATGCCCTTTCTGCATAATTGACATGATCATATTGTTATTTTCCTTTGTTTTATTTATGTGGTAGATTACATGATTGATTTTCTAATGTTGAATCACTCTTGCAATCCTGGTATGAATTCCACATGATCATGGTGTATTTTGGTTGTTGTTGTTACTGAACTCTGGTTGCTAAAATTTTTGCCTCTATATTCTTAAGGGATATTGCCTGTAATTTCCCTTTATTGTGGTGTTTCTGCCTGGTTTCAATATCAGAGTTATATTGTTTCCATAGACAAATTCTGGTAGTGTTCCTTCTGCTACATTTTTTAAAAGATTGAGTAGCATTGATTTTTATTATTTTCTCTTGCTCCTCCTAGTCTCATTGTTCAAGTTTCCAGCTTAAGTTAATGATTTTGGATCTCTCTTCTTTTTCTAATTTAAGTATTCATTGCTATGAATTTTCCTCTGAATACTATTTTTGCTTTGTCCCACACATTTTGATGTGTTGCTTTCATTTTCATTTGATTGTAGGATTTGGTCATTATTTCACTTTTTTTTTTTTTTTTTTTAAAGACCCAATGATTTTTTTAGTAGTATATTATTTAATTTCTGTGCAATTTTTTCCCTTATTTCCCTCATACTCTTTTGACTTGACCTCTCTACATTGAATTAAACTTCCTCAGCAGATTCCTTTGAAAGGCACTGTTTTTTTATTATTCTTTTTTTAAGGGACACTAATGGGATGGGATTCCTGGTGTGGTGCTGTGGGTTAATGCACTGGGCAGCAGTGTTGGTTCGAACTCCAAGGTAAGTGGTTCAAGCTCATCATCCACTTGTGAGAAACCCAATACAGAGTTGCTATGAGTCGGAACCAACTTGAAGGTGCTTAACAACAACAATGAGATTAGGATTCCTAGTGTGTTGCCAGAAGTTTGGCAGTTCAAACCCCACCAGCTGTTCTTTGGAAACCCTATACAGGGTGGCTATGAGTCATAACTGACTTGATGGCACTTAACAACAACAAAGAGATCAGGAGTCCTGCTGTGGTACTAAACACCAAACTGCAAGGTCGGTTTGAACTGTAAAGTGAGCAGTTCAAACTCACCAGTAGCTCCTCAGAAAACCCTGTGCAGAGTCACTATGAGTGGGAACTGACTAAATAGCACTTAACAACAACAAAATAATGAGATTAAGACAAAAGTATCACTGAGATCATGCCTGCAGCCATCCCATGACTGCAGATGTGTTTTAAACATGTTTTGTTTGGAATAAACAAATTCACGTAAGACCCTAACAGAAATGCTTTTGACTTAAGCTCATATTTTGACTTATATTCAGTTGGTTTATGATCTTATTAAAGTTCTCAGGCCATTAATAATCTTC